AATTTTAGCGGTGTTTGCGCCCTAGCCAAGATGTCGTCATAAACCGTGAAAAGATCTATTTGCTAACAGATATTTGTTGCTTCTAATCCTTTTTTTTTGTCAAATAAAAATCGAACTCAAATCACTTGATTGCCATATCCATTTTTATCTATTGGCTACTCCGGGGTGTAACTACACCCAGAACTACACGGACGTTATTTTGAAAGGGCGGCCGGGTCTTAATCGTGACTGGGCACCTACCCGCCTATTTTAAACCCGGTTGTAAAGAAAAGATCAGATTTTTCAGATTTTTTTAAAAGATTTTTTTTAAAAAGTGATGATTGTTTGATCCTTCGACTCTCAGTTGCAACTGAATTGTCAACAAGTTTACTGTTCGCATGAAACCAGTTTTCATTTTTGGATGAACAGATGAAAAGATATCATAAGACTCCGATATAAATCGATGAAATCGGTAAAAATCAAGATAAACAGATAAACGAAACGAGTGTGTCATCGATTTCTACCGATTGATGGATACAATTGATATCAATCAAATCAGTTTTTCTGATTTTTATCGATTCATCGATTGATAAATCGATTCTGATTTTTATCGATTGACTACTCCGGGATGTGTACATGTGCCATGCCATCTCATTCATGTCCTATGATGTAAGCGACTCGGAAAGGTTTCCAATTTCACAGGAAGCAATGCTGTTTTTTTTACCCCAACAACAAATTTTTGTGTTTTGCCTCCTCTCGCGTATAAAATTTTGCTTTAAGTCTCGGAGAACGTTAAATGTAAGTCAAGAAACGTTGTTGGGTTCGTTTCTTTGACTGGATGTAAGCAGTAACAAATACTGAAAGCTTGCCTTTTTTAATTTCTCTCTCTCTCCGGTACCCCTCCTGCCCTCTGTTCTCCCGGGCTCCCGCCCCTGTCCCCCCCCACTAGACTGATGGAACTGGATTAAATCTTGAACATTCATTGCTACTCACAGTTTCGTGTAGCCTCCCATGCAGACGTTCTTAGGGGTTCTTCACGCGTTCCTGCCTAACTGACGTTAATGGGGCAGGAACGCGTGACGAACAGACTACGCATTTACAAACGGATATAGAAACTTTTTGAACGAATCAGGAGACGAATGTTGCAAAAGCTCAAGTAGACTTTCAAGAAAGTCCTTCGTCCGATTTAATAATGGCGCAAAACTTTTCGAACAGATGTTAATAATAGACCTTTTCACGGTTTATGACCCCATCTTGGCGGGGGGCAAACAAGGCTAAAATTACAGTTAATGTATCCATGGGATTTTGGCCCACTTGGAACCGCTATAACGCCGCTACAAAGAGGCGGATTTCCAACATTTGCCACTCCTTTAAATAGTTTTATTAATATCATTCATTCAACAGAAAATAAGGCTATTAAAGAAAGTACGACATCCGCAAAATTCGAATTATAAATCTTCTCATGTGGCTTCTATTTCATGGTAATTTGCATACTGTTGATTAGAAGCGTCTGTATGAAATCTTAAAAATTCGTTTATGGTCGATTAATTCATCGCCTTCGGTCGCATTGTAATTGCGGTATGGATTTTGTCTCTCTGCTTTAAAAAAGAATTGAACTGAATAACCTAAATCTCTTCTTTATACTTCATGAAAATAATCTCAGTACAAATGTCTTCTAAAGTACTTTTTCACTGTGGAAATCCGCCTCTTTGTAGCGGCGTTATAGCGGTTCCAAGTGGGCCAAAATCCCATACATTCACTGTAATTTTAGCCGTGTTTGCCCCCCAGCCAAGATGGCGTCATAAACCGTGAAAAGGTGTATTTGCCAACAGATATTAACTGTTTCTTCTAATCCTTTTTTTGTCGGATAAAAATCGAACTCTAACACCAACTTCGATAGTCACATGAAATTTTATGATCGACTTTTATCGATTTCAGATACCTGTCGATTTATTTCTACTCGACATTTATCGACAACGATCGATTTTAATCGACTTTCGAAATTATCGACATGTAACACCCTTTATGGAATGTCCTTATGATAGTCCTCTTTTTTGAAATATTAAATTTGCATAGTAAAATTCCTTGTTGTTTAGTGTCTGCAGGGCAAAATAAATCACCGGAGTCATCTTAGTATATCTAACATATTTTCCAACAAGACAACATCGTCAGGATTTCTTACCTTTTGCACAACCCCCGCGGTAGCAAGCTCAGCTCGTCAGCTTCCAAGAGTTCCAGAGGAGAAAGTCATGCGATGTGTTGGTATTTTGATTCACCTGAATTTCTTCTCGGAATACAAAATGAACTATTGTAATCACTAGCCAAAGAGAGAAGTTTCAGCCTCACAGATCGAAATAGCCATCAAGGCGTTGAACTGAACTGAAGGTATTTCTGATCACGAGATCAAGTCACTTCCTTGTGAGAAAAAATGTTAGTTTGTACCCAGACTTTACTCGTCTTTGTAGGACCGTGGCAAGGTGGGCAAACGGTTGGTAGGTCGCCGGCAGGCTCTTTTTGGTGTGTTTTTCGCTCGTGTTTTGTAAAAAGACGTAGGAATAATGAAGCTGCGCGAACAGCTGCACCGAGGTTAAACAAGAAAACGGTTGGGGAGGTGCCGAGAAGCTTCTTTCTCTCGGCCCCTTCCACATGTTTTTTTTCGTTTCACCTCGGTTTATCCATCGTTTGGCGCTGACTAGAAGCGCGCCAGGCGGGGCCGTATCTGTCGGGGAAGGAGTGGTTTATAGTGGGCTTCTAAAGCTCTATATGGTCCCAGTTGCTCAAGAGGTGGATTGCAATCCACCGGAAAAATCACTGTCAGGAGCCGATTCACCACCTGTCAAACTGTCCAGTGGATAACGCAGTTGGATAGCGATTTATTTGACTGTATGACTTGTTTTTACGGTTTTCTTATAGTATTTTAGCCACCCGTCTATCCTCTCTTGATGTAGGTCATGTTCACACTTGGTTTTTTTTTACCCCTTCTGCGAAGGTAGTGGGCAGTGGAGACGATATTCAAGAGGGTCCTGTCCCCACTATCTGAACGCCTGAATCAGGCCAGGGGGCCCAAATAGGAGTCTTCACGATCAAAATTTCCCCTCAGTCCCGTAATACCAACAGTTAGAAGCAAGCAATTCTGTCGAATATAAAGTCATGTAGGAATTACAAATATTTGTGTGTAATGTGAAGATCACGAGGTTCGAGTTATGTGCATTTATGGACACAAGTGAAACAAGGTCATTTTTTTTTTCCATATAATGGCTCCTTAATATAACATTTCCGAAACCCACTTCTTAGAATCGTTAATTTCGAATCTTGTTATCCTTCTGGTCAAAATCCTAAATTATTGCTTTGAAAAAAATCCAAATTCTGGATCTAGAAAAACCAGCCGGGAAACCTGAAACAATACAAGTACCTATGGGAAGTTAACCAGCTAGCGAACTTACAGAATTTAAAAACCTCTGAATAACTTTCACTCTGGAGTGTTTATTACCTGTCATTTTATTCAGTGTACATTAATATGGCTTCGGATAAACACAACAAAACTATTTTCCACGGGTGAAGAATATATTATTTAAATAATTTTTATGTTACTCCGAATCCATAATTTACCGTTCCTCGTTTCATGTTAAATTTTACTAAACGAGTAGTACAGGCATGAAATACAGATAACGTCATCTCTTTCACTGCTTTTGAGGGTCCGCAAACTTTACTGAGTCAACTTAATTTAACGTGCTTAATCTGACTCTCTCTCTCTCTATCTGTCCACCATACAGGCTTCAGCAGGGTGTCGCCACTGCAATTCCTTTCCCTCTATCTCTGGCCTGTAATACAGTGTCCAGGCGCGGATCCACACCGGTTTCCACCGTTTTACGGAAATCGGTCAGATTTTTCACAATAAATATTACTAAAACCTTTTAACTTTCCAACTGAAATTTGGAAAATGGTTTTGAAAGTCAGAAAATATCCTGTCTAAATGACTCATAAACCCTAGAGAGGAGATTATGAGGAGTTAAAATCCAAAAATCTTCCCGGGGAGCATGCAGCAAGACCTCCCTTAGAGTAGGGAATTGGTCAGTATTTATTGTAGATCCACGCCTGGTGTCCTCTTGCGGAGGAGAGAAATTGATCTGGATTTAACAAAGCGATCAAATTTCTTTAATGAGCCGAGACTACGAAAAGTTAAGAAGGGGGATATAGCGATATTTAAACAAACATTAAAACACACAGCCCTCCGTCTACAGTGTAGGTGCCACAAGGCGAACAGCTCCACATGTAACTTTCAATACAAACAAAGCAACGTTCTTAAGTCACGTGGGGTCTGAGAAAGCAATTGGTTCTTCACAAAACATTTCATCAAGCAAAGCAAAGCAAGGATTACAAACTCGGACATTCTGATTGTAGCCAAACGCTGGAATCCTGAAAAAGAAAACATGTCTTCGTTGTTAATTTGTCCACTAAAAGACGATGTGAAGAGATGAGCGCCACTCTTACTCCACTGGAAACGAGCTGGTTAGCCTGTGGTGTAACACAGGTTTTCCCACTTGGGAAGTGTCATATCCCATGAATCCTTATGCGCTTCGTACATGCGCAGTAGCTTCTTCTTGCCATGTGCTTACAGACTTGAAGTTAAATATTGTTGAGTTCTCTGCGTTCGTTATACAATTTCCTGCTATATTACAAACTACAAATTCCTGGTACATTAGAGGAAGGAATGTATGTCTCTTCTTCAGTTTTGTGTGATTCCCCTCAGTGACTCAATTACGAATGACCGCCGCAGAATTTGTGGTCCGGCCAGCGGAGGCTGCATGCTTATCCTGTTAGCTGGGAAGTTTAAAAACTTAGAGTTCACGATGAAACTTCAACGGCTTAAAATTTCTTAACTTTTAAGATTGCCCCTGTCAGTTTCTGTTAAACAGCAAGAGAGGATATCCTTTCTTGTAATCAGCTGGCTACGAGACAAAACACTGTGACACCTGCAACTGATAATACAGTAAATCATGTTGAACTTACGGAGCTGACTG